GAGTCTCTATGGGGGGGCGGGGATTGGGGGGTTCCACGAGGGGGGGCGGGGCTGGGGGGAGGGGGAGTCTCTATGGGGGGGCGGGGATTGGGGGGTTCCACGAGGGGGGGCGGGGCTGGGGGGAGGGGGAGTCTCTATGGGGGGGCGGGGATTGGGGGGGTTCCACGAGGGGGGGGCGGGGCTGGGGGAGTCTCTATGGGGGGGAGGGGGTCTGCACGGGGGTGGCGGCGATGCGGGGGGGAATGGGGGACAATGGGGATTGGGGGATTCCATGGGGGGCTGTGGTGGGGACAACGGGAGAGGGGGGCTCCACAGTGGCAATGGGGGAGACTCCCCAGGGAGGGGGCAGGGGGGCCTGGTGCTGCCTTTGGTCACCCCAACCTGACGCTTTTGCTCTCCCAGCCAGGCCCTGCCCAGAGGACCCTGTCTGCGTGGGGGGCGCCTGGCGATGGCGCTGGTCAGCGGATTGGTGCCCGCCCGTTTCCTGACCCTCACGGCCCATCTCGTCATCGTCATCACCATCTTTTGGTCCCGGGTAAGAGACCCCGACGACGCCCACCCTGTATGACACCTACGATCTTACACCCAGACAGGATGCCCGCCCATCCACCCCGACGACGCCCACGCTGTATGACACCCAGGATCTACACCCAGACAGCATGCCCGCCCATCCACCCTGACGACGCACACCCGTGTGACACCCCACAACATATACCCATACAGCACACCTGCTCACCCGTACAGCATGCCCATCCATCCACCACAATGACGCACACCTGTATGGCACCCACAAGGCACACCCATACAGCACACCCGCCCGCACACCCTGACGATGCCCACCCATACAGCACTCCCACCCGGAAACGCCCGCCCGCCCTCCCTGACAACACACACCCGTATGAGGTACATACCTTGTGAGGTACACCCATACAGCATGCCTGCCTGCCCACCCCAAGGATGTACACCCATATGACGTACACCTGTACAACATGTCTGCCCCGATGACACATACCTTTATGATACCCGCGCCTGTGATGTACACCCATACAACATGCCGACCCTGATGATGCCTGTGACGCACCCCCACCCCCACAACGCACGCCTCGCCCATACGACGACCATGCCTACAACACACACCACCATAACACACCCGCGCCTACAATACATCCCCAGACCATATGCCCATCCCGACGATGGCCACCTGCCCCCACGACGCACACCTGTACAACATCCATCCATATGACACACCACCCGTACAACGTGCACAGCTGCCCCGGCAACACCCACCTGCCACTACCCCATGCACAGCCCTGCGACACACATACAGATCTCCCAATACACTCACCACCTAACACGGTGTAGACCAGTGGTCTCCAAAGTGGGGTGCGTGCAAGAGGATCCTGGGGGGTGCGCAGCAGAAGGAGTGCTTTTTTTTTGCTTTGGCGCGGCAGGGGGTGCATGCTCAAAAATTTTTTACTGATAGGTGTGCGCGATCAAAAAAGTTTGGAGACCACTGGTGTAGACGATCATCCAACACACACCCCTCATGCAAC